CTTCATTTGAGCCAAACTTTAGACTTACAACTTTATTGGGATTCATTCTCTCTCTCTCTCTCTTTCTCTCTGTGTATATGTGTACACACTGTCATTTTCAGATCTCAGCTCCTCAAAGATGTACAGTGGTACCTCGGGTTACATACGCTTCAGGTTACATACGCTTCAGGTTACAGACTCCGCTAACCCAGAAATAGTACCTCGGGATAAGAACTTTGTTTCAGGACAAGTACAGAAATCGTGCTCCGGCGGCGCGGCAGCAGCAGGAGGCCCCATTAGCTAAAGTGGTGCTTCAGGTTTAGAACAGTTTCAGGTTAAGAACGGAACTCCGGAACGAATTAAGTACTTAATCTGAGGTACCACTGTATCGATGGCCACCCACTTGGATGGCTTTAAAAGAGGATCAGACTTTTCATGGAAGATAAGGCTATCAATGGCTACTAGCCATGATGGTTAAATTCCACCTCTCCTGTTGCCTCTTCAGTGCTGGGAATCACAAGTGGGGAGAGTTGCTGTTGCGTTCAGGTCCTGTTTGTAGGTTTCCTGTTGTGGCATCTGGTTGGCCACTGTGAGAGAACAGGATGCCAGACTTGCCTTTGGCCAGATCCAGCAGAACTCTTCTTATGAGCACTGTTCCATTCATGCTCCCTGCCCATGGGATTCTAAGAGATATCTGACTGTGCCACTGTTGGGAACAGGATGCTAGATTATTGATCGAATAATCTAGATGCTAGATGTTGATCGGAACCCCAAGGCTCTTATGGCTTTTAAAAATGAAGGAAAGCAAACTCCAAGGTTCCAGACCTTATGGATGTGAATATATGTTTGCAAGTACCTGTATATGGAGGAGCGGGTGGTGCTGTGGTCTAAACCACTGAGCCTCTTGGGCTTGCTGATTGGAATGTCAGCAGTTTGAATCCCCGCGACGGGATGAGCTTCCGTTGCTCTGTCCCAGCTCCTGCCAACCTAGCAGTTCGAAAGCATGCCAGTGCAAGTAGACAAATAGGTACTGCTGCGGTGGAAAGGTAAATGGTGTTTCCATGCACTCTGGTTTCCATCACAGTGTTCTGTTGTGCCAGAAGCGGTTTAGTCATGCTGGCCACATGACCTGGAAAGCTGTCTGTGGACAAACGTTGGCTCCCTTGGCCTAAAGAGAGATGAGCACTGCAACCCCATAGTCGCCTTTCACTGGACTTAACTGTCTAGGGTTCCTTTACCTTTTTTTTATGGGCAATGCCTGTAGAAACCTCAGAAGCCAGAATGGCGGGGTCTGATTCCCAAAGGTCAGGGTAGAGGTGTTAGTGCCCCTTCCCCAAGATTTGCAAAATTACAATAAATAAGTAGTGAGAATTGCTATTGACTTTACAGGAGCCAGAATCCAGCACTAAAAGAGTATTAGAGCTAATTCAAGAATTTGGTCAGGTAGCAGGTTTTAAGTTGAATAAGATGAAAACTAAGGTTTTAGAGAAGAATCTAACAGAGATTGAGAGAGATAAGTTTCAGAAGGAGACAGGACTGACACTGGTTAAGAAAGTGAAATATTTAGGGGTTAACATGACTGCTAAGAATGTGAATTTATTTAGGGATAACTATGAAAAATGTTGGACTGAAGTGAAATAGATTTAGAAATATGGTCAAATTTGAAGCTATCGTTGTTAGGCCGAATTGCTGTGATAAAAATGAATGTATTGCCAAGAATGCTGTTTTTGTTTCAAACACTGCAAATTTTGGACAAAATGGACTGTTTCAAGAAGTGGCAGAGAGATATTTCCAGATTTGTCTGGCAGGGCAAGAAGCCTCGTATAAAATTTAAGATATTAACCGATGCCAAAGAAAGAGGTAGATTTGCCCTGCCAGACTTAAAACTTTATTATGAATCAGCCGCCTTTTGCTGGCTGAGAGAATGGATGCTTCTTGAAAACACGGACGTTTTGGATTTGGAAGGTTTCAATAATGTATTTGGTTGGCATGCATATTTGTGGTATGATAAGGTTAAAGCACACAAAGCGTTCAAAAACCATATTGTAAGGAAAGCACTGTTTAATGTTTGGATAAGATATAAGGATTTGTTAGAAAATAAAACCCCAAGATGGTTGTCACCAATGGAAGCAAAGGCTCAGAAAAAACTCAATATGGAGGCCAAATGGCCAAAGTATTGGGAAATTTTGGAACAAGAGGGTGACAGATTAAAACTGCAGAGCTTTGAAAAATTAAACAGAGTACGAGATTGGCTCCATTATTATCAAATAATGGAGGCATATAACTTGGATAAAAAACTAGGCTTCCAGGTGGAAAAATCAAAATTGGAAACAGAATTGTTGGACCCTAAAGTTAAGAATTTGTCAAGAATGTATAACTTGCTGTTGAAATGGAATACTCAAGATGAAATGGTGAAATCTGCTATGATTAAATGGGCACAAGATGTTGGACACAATATTATGATGGCTGACTTGGAACAGTTATGGACCACTGGTATGAAGTTTACGGCATGTAATGCCTTAAAAGAGAATTTAATGAAAATGATTTATAGGTGGTACATAGCACCAGTCAAGCTTGCAAAAATCTACCATCTGCCCGATAACAAATGTTGGAAATGTAAGGAAACTGAAGGTACATTCTTTCACCTTTGGTGGACATGCCCAAAGATTAAGGCATTCTGGGAGATGATCTATAATGAAATGAAAAAGGTATTTAAATATACCTTCCTGAAGAAACCAGAGGCCTTTCTCCTGGGCATGGTCGGCCAATTGATGCCAAAGAAGGATAGAACTTTCTTTATGTATGCTACAACAGCAGCAAGAATACTTATCGCAAAGTATTGGAAGACACAAGATCTACCCACCAGGGAAGAATGGCAGATGAAGCTGATGGACTACATGGAACTGGCGGAAATGACTGGCAGAATCCAAGACCAGGGAGAAGAGTTGGTGGAAGAAGATTGGAAAAAATTTAAAGTATATTTACAGAAACATTGTAAAATTAATGAGTGTTAGAAGGATGCTGGAATGAAGCTATATGGTTTTAGTAGAAAGGTAATAAAGAATTAAGTAAAAGCTGATTGATAACGGGCCAAAATGAAAAAATTTAAGGTTAGACCGTTAAGATAAATTATAGAACAAAAATTGAGAAAGATGGAAAGAATTTGCTGAAATAGTGAATTGAACTAGAATACAAAAAAAGGGAGGTGTGAGAAGGTCGATGAAACAAGTAAAGGAAAGGTAAAGATATGGAATATTGGATGTGTGTTTTAGTGTTTTTTTCTTTGTTGTTTCTGTTTGCTGTATTGTTGTATTGTTTTTCTATGTTTTTTTTCTTTTTTATTGTTGTCTTTTTTTCTTCTTTCTGTAATCTTTAAACTTTTAATAAATATCATTTTAAAAAAAAGAGAGAATTGCTATTCAAATCAGGAGAAATAATGCACATTTTGCATAATGTATGCAGGGTGCAGCTCTTCAATGTTGCTTGCTGCAGATATTTTTCATTGTAGCACAGTCTCAGACTGCTGGGCCCCATTGTTTTGGGACATTCTTGAACATTTAAGATGTTAAATCCCGCATTCAGGATCCTAAATACCACAATCCCACCAAATACAGAATCCCACCAGGCAGCTCTGTGGGAGGTGAAGACTCTGCTTACCCACCAGCACGTACTCATGTGCGCATTTCAGAGTTTCCTCCGCCCTTCCGCTCCCTCCCTCCTCATCTGTTTCCTAATCTTGCATACTGAGGAGGATTAGAATTCCTGAGGAGCAGGCAGAGCCCCGCATGGTTTCCTTTTTGCTAAAATCTTCCTATTTGCTAACATCCCCCCCCCCCCCGCAGCCTGTGTGAAAGGAGTTCTGAGATATAGCAGAAAAACTGAAAAAATGAAACTTTTCTTTTTTTTGCAGAAAAATAATTAAAAAAATACTGGAGCAGGAGAACATAAGGGGCAAAGATGTTCGATTTCTAAAAGAGGAATAATGGCTTGTTTTGCATTAATGCTTCCCATCCTAAACATGTTGTCTTTGAAGTCCTATTAATTTTGGTGGTTAACTTTCTAGTGAGCACACTGAGGCTTGCTGCCTTATTTAACCGGTTATAATTTGTGAATGAATTTTATTATTACAGTCACAGACCAGTTCCTGCTCACTTACAAAAGCAGGAAAATCATAAAACACAACAGGAATACATTGAATTGCAATTGGGTATAACAGAGACAATTCAGATATAGCGGCGGTTAAAAGTATAATTTGTATTTTGGAAATTACTTTGATTTCAGGAAGCCTCAGGGACCCAGCAATTGGGTGGCATTTTTTGGGGCATGAGGGCAAGCTATTTCGCTGTGGAGGTGACTTGCAGCCCCATTGTCTGCCCTCTGCTTGATATTAGAAACAGATAATAAGTTCAAATAATGGTAGAATCAAAAGGTGTGGTTTGCAGACCATTTAGCATCAGTTGGTTTACTCAGATATTTCTTACCCTTGGGATCTGTTGGTATTTGCATCTCTGGGCAGTTAAATGTGTGAAAGGTGTTTCATTAGGGAATATGGACATTCTGGCTGTGGAATGCAATAAAAAGCCTAGTAACCCGTTTAAGGCTAACAGACATATAATAAGGCTTCATGGAGCAATTACCAGTATCTGCAGTAGACCATAGAATTGGGAGCTGAACATCGTATACACTGGTGGACGAAGTGGGGGCGGGGGGGTGGCCTGACCTGGGTGCCATCCAGGGGGGTGTTTGACATCGCGCCCGCTCCCGGCCCCGGGATGCTCAGTGCTTGCCACGCACATCCCAACACGTGCCATGCCCCCCACGGGCGGCGCCCCATGCCCCCTGGGACGCATGCCACACTCCCTGGGACATGCACCAGCCACGCACCCGGATGTACACCGCGCCTGGTGCTGGAGCAGGTAGCTCCGCCACTGATCGTATATATTTTTAGTGTTACTGTTACCATCCAAGCAAAGACCCAGTCTAAACAGGAAACTCTTTATAGCCATTCCAAATCAGCAGGAGCCCTGGCCAGCCTTAGCTCAGTGGCAGGGCTTCTCTGCTTTGCATGCAGGAAGGTCCCAGGTTCAGTTCCTGGCATTTCCAGGTAGGGCTAGGAATGTCCCCTGCCTGAAATGCTGGAGGGCTGCTGCCAGTCAGTGTAGGCAGTATTGAGCTAGATGGACCATCGGTCTGACTTAGTATATGACAGCTTCTTATGTGGGTGGAGTCAACCTAGAGTCCAGGAACCCTTTACTGGCCAGGTCACATTCTGACCTACAGCACCAGTGGATCAACACTGGAGCTCCTGATTCCTGTCCAAGCTGCTTTACACCAGACCTTTCCCCAACCTGGTACCCTCCAGAAGTTATGGACTGTAACTTCCCATCAGCCCCAGCCAGCATGGGATGATGGGCGTTGGAGTCCACAGCTTCTGGTGGGCTTCAGGTTGGGGTAGGCTGGTCTAAATGGGGAGGTCATTTTTTGGGGGGGTGTTGGGTGGGAGACCCACACTTCTAAGCTGGGCAGAACCAGTTTGGCGAAGGCTGCTTCAGACAATGCACAAAGTGACAACCTCAGTTGATGGGGACCATGTTCATATATTATATTTGTCCCTTGTGGTCTACAATGTTAGCCCTACACAGAGTAGACCTATTAAAATGAGTGGGCATGTGAAACTTAGACCCATTAATTACAATGGGTCCACTCTGATTAGGACTTAAGCTATGGTACATTCTCACCATGCCTTTAAAGCACCATTTGACCACTTTAACCAGTCTCTGCTTCCTCTAAGGAATCCTGGGAGTTATAGTTTGTTAATGGTGCTGAGAGTTGCTTGGAGACCCCTTGCAGAACTACATTTCCCAGCAAGGCTTTTTTCCAGCTGGAACTTAGTTCTGGCACCTCTCAGGTGGGTGCCATTGCCATTCCAAGAGAACGAGGGAGGCGTTCATGGTGAGTTCCGGCACCTCCTGTTCTAGAAAAATTGCATTGATTCCCAGAATGCTTTAACAACCAACCCCTTTCTGCAAGGAACTCTAGGAGTAGTAGCTTAGGGAGGTCGCCTAACAACTCCTAGCACTTTCATCAAACTACAGCTCCCATAATTCTTTGGGGGAAGCCGTGACTGTTTGATGCTACTTTAAAGTGCTTTCAGTGTATGGTGTGAATGTGGCCTTAGTTGGTTACAGTCCTCCATTTCCAGAAGATAAGATAAAACAAATGGACTCATTTTGGAGTGTAGGGACCTGGTGGTGGTGGTAGGAGAGACCCTCAGCAGGAATGCACAGCTGGAGAAGGCGCATTCTCGCCTGCCTCACTGTAGTCAGCTGTGGCCATACGCCAGGCCCAAATCGCATTGTTAATAAGCTCACATACCATTCGTATCAGGACTGTGGAGGGGGAGATATTGCGGATTCTTTCTTTCTTTCTTTCTTTCTTTCTTTCTTTCTTTCTTTCTCTGTCTCTCTCCTAGCCCCCTCCTTCAACCAGCAGAAGGGAGGAATGCAGAGATGCTTCTGTTGCAATGAAGCTTCTAGCCATGCCTGAGCGAAGCATATCCAGACCTTCGTGTGACATATTTCTCTTTATTGTTTTTAAGAGAAGGACTGATCAGCAGAGGATCCTCCTCCTCCTCCTCCTCCTCCTCCAGCATCTTCCCCAGGAGCTCCTCGTTCGTCATTTCTCATCGAGCAGCTGCTCTTTCCTTTTTCCCTGGAGAAAACGGACGGCTGCTTTTCCTTTGCGGAGGGGTGAGGGGAGGGGGTCAAGGGTCGTGTCCATCTAACCCCAGTCACAATGAGAGGCTCTGTGGTCAGGGTCCCGTCCTGCGCTTCGCTAGCCTGTGAAAAGGGGGTGTGGAGTATTTGTTCCTTCTGGTTTTTTCTGTGCGTCCCCACCTGGCTTAGCCATTCAAACAGAGAAGGAGGGTTAAGTGCTGCTGTGTTTGTGAAGAGAAGCACTGCTTTTGAGAACGCCTTGCCAGTGTCTCGAGGCATGAAATTGTAGTGCTGTGGTTTAGGCTCCTCCCACTGGCCCTTGGAAGCTCCGCCTCTTGACCTGTGTCAAGCTAATACCTGTATTTGTTCTGATCAACATTCCTACAGTGATATTGGTGGCATTTTGTGAGCCACTTTGGCGTAGCGTTTAAATCAGCCCGCATAATTGAAGTGGGAAAGAGCTTTTGCTGTTACCGCCCCAGGCTGTAGATTCAAGAGGTTTAAGCTTCGTACGCAGAGAGAACTCCCTGCATCTAGAAAAATAACATGCCAGCGAGAAGTCTGCAGAGAACCTTTTCTCCCTTACATGCTGGCTCTCTAGGTGCAGGGAGAATTCCAAGACTCAACAACAGCCCCCTGTAGTCTAGAGGTGTACAATCCAGGCACGGCGGTCAGACTTGATTCTGAGGATGTGTGGCCCTACAGGCAGGCACTGGGGAGTGGACTTGCTAAATAACGAGAGAGAAGAGGAAAGGTGAGGTGTGCAGCCCGGTAGACAAAAGTGTCCTTGTGCCGCTCCAGCTCATGGGAGTGATTGGCTAAAAAGGTTTTGTTGTTCAGTACACAAAGCCCTGCAGCCTGGCAACCTGCTTTGAACACGGGCACCAGCTGTCTGGCTCTGTTGTGGCTTCTCTGGGCAAAGAGGAATGTTCCAAGCTGTGCTGATGTATCCATGCACTCTTAACTGCCCCTATTGCTCTATTGACCAGGAAGAGGCCCCTGTTTCCTGCTTGCTTTCCTTGATATATTCTTGGTAAATCCATGCCGCACCCCACTTTTGCCATCCGGGGATCCCTTGGTAAAGTTTTGGGGTTTTATCACATTGGAACAGGTGTGTGTATGTTGCATAGCTTTATTCATCTTGACAAGGAAAAGGGACGAAAAAGCTTTCTCTTCCCTTCTTCAAAATCCTGCTCAAACCCACTGAGAGATTTTGGGATTCCACCAGGTGCGTTTTCCACTCCACCACCCCCTCCCTGACACACTTTCAGGCCTTTTCCTACATCAATAAGGATTAGAAACTTGCTTGTTGTTTTTTAAATGAAAGCCAAAATTGTCCAGGTGTTGAATTCTTTGCTCCTCTTAAAATTCTACACTTGCACTGAATTGCAGAACACAAATCTGTGTGAAATAGCCTTTGCAAAGAGGAGAAAGTGTGTGGGGGGGGGGGAATGGAAAAGTAATTGCCTTTGAGAAAAATCAGACTTCACCACCTCAAAGATGTAAACACAGCCTTGACCTGCATATAATTCCTCCCCGCCCGGCCAAGTGTGATCTTTGTAGAAAAGCCCAGAGGACATGATGAGAAAAGAAAATGGATGAGAGGTTTTTTTTAATAATAAAAAAAGTCCTCCCCATTTTTAGCTTGTTTAACCCTGGGAGAATTACATCAAAACGTCTCGTTTGGAAGGTCTCCAAGAGCAATGGCCCACTGGAGGGAGAAAAGCTAACTGACTGTGTTTGTTCCTAAGTGGAATGAACAACGTTGGAAATGAAGGAATCGTAGTAACTTGCAGGGCCGGCGGTGATGGTCAGAATGTAAAAGCAAATGGTACTTTATTAACTTAATAAACAGTCCTTTTGGGGTCAGGAAGAGGCTGCAGCCTATGCTCCACAGGTTGAAGGTCCCATATCCAGTTCCTGGAATCTCCAGGTGGGTAATTCCTACCTTAAATCCAAACTCAGTAGGGGAGGTATCAGGATTTAGAGGAGCCCCAAGAATTGCAAAAGTTCAAAAAAACTTCAGAGGAGAAAAACAATCACTAATGGATAGTGCACCCCCCAAGCAGCTCAACTGAGCATGTTCAGTGGTCACAGAATACTGAGTTGTGGGGGAAAGAGTGGTATGGAATAGAGTGGAATGAAATGGAAGAATGGCTGGCTGGAACCCTGAACTGGAGCACTCCATTCCGCAACATCTTGTTGCAGGTTCCATACGTTGTTGTTTTTTGTTTTTTAGTACAAGGAGTTCCTAGAAATGTTTTCTCTTCTGAGATTTCCAGATTTTCTTCGTCCTTGTTTTTGTACACTAAGAACATAGATCAGGTCAAGCCAAGTCTAGCATCCTGCTCTTACAAGCAGGACCTGAGAGGAACAGCAACTCCAGCAACTGGTCTTCAGGGGCATCCTGCCTCCAATACTGGTGGTAGAACATAGTCTTTGTGTAGATTGTGGATGGGGAACCCCAGACACAGAGACTAAAGGTGGCCATAACCAGTGCTTTTCTTCTAGGAAAAAATGGTGCTGGTATTCACCATGAAGTTCTTAAGTAAGTGCCACACTTTTAACTAGAAAAAAGGTGCCAGTACTGCGTACCCTTGAGTATTCCCAGGGGGAAAAAGCACTGGCCATAACCATTATTAATCCATAAACACCAAGACAACTGTCTCAACCATTCTTTCCCTTTGTCATCCTTGTGATTTTCAGTTGTTAACAAACAGGATGCTGACACTCCTCTTTCAGCTTGGGTGGAACATTTAGGTTATGCCATACTCATCCTCAAAACAACCCTGGAAAGTAAAACTGAGAGACGGTATCTGCAGTCAAGGACTGTAGCTCAGTGGCAGAGCATCTGCTTGGCATGCAGAAGGTCGTAGGTTCAGTCCCTGACATCTCTGGGTAGGACTGGGGAGACTGCTGCCTAAATCCCCAGAGAACCATTGCCAGTCAGCATTGAGGACACCCAGCTAGATAGACCAGTGGCTTGATTCAGTATAAGTCCTAAGCTTCATGGGTGGGTTGGAGATTTGACGCTGGGTTTCGCTAGATGAGATCCAGTTGCTTTTTTCCTGCTGCACCGCAAGCTCAGGACTTCAGAAGATCCTGAACTTGGAAACATTTGTATTTCAGTGTTTTTGATCTTCCGCCCTGACTAAAGAGCTGCCCTCCACTTGACGGCTTTCTCTCATTGTCACCTGTGCCAGAATAAGAAATAAAAAAAAGTCTGTTTTGGGGTGGGGAGCAGTGTTTAAAGCTTTGCCCTCCAGAGATTCAAGCGATGCACCTGTTAAGTCCTAGGGTGCTTTTTGCTTTGCTTTTCTTGCACCATGAACAGACATAGCGGCGGCTCCCAGGCAGAGCATCTGGAAGGAATTACAGCTGTAAGCGAAAACAGCTGGCTGAACCCCCTCAAGGAAACACATGTTTGGAGGGAGCTGGGCTGCCAGGGGTGGCAGTGGAGGTTGGGGGCGGGGAGAGAGCAGGCTGGGTGGGTGGATTTTCCCAACGCTGCCGCCATGCCTGTTCAGAAGCCCAGCATCTCTCACCCCCACAACCCAAGAATTAGCTGCAACACGCCTTTGTCTGTGGGGGTGGGGGAAGCTGATAGAGTAACAGAACAGAACCGTCAGACACTTCAAATGCTGCAGCATTCGTATACTGCGTGGTTAACTCAGCGGGTTTCAGACACAAGACTGACGGTGACTTTATATTTGTACAGTGGTACCTCGGGCTACATACGCTTCTGGTTACAGACTCTGCTAACCCAGAAATATTACCTTGGGTTAAGAACTTTGCTTCAGGATGAGAACAGAAATTGTGCTCTGGCGGCACAGTGGCAGCAGGAGGCCCCATTAGCTAAAGTGGTGCTTCAGGTTAAGAACAGCTTCAGGTTAAGAATGGACCTCCAGAACGAATTAAGTACTTAACCTGAGGTACCACTGTACAAGCAAAGATACTGGAGTTTATTTTATATCATTTTTTTTTATACCACTATATCCAAGGAGTTCAAGGTGACATGCATGTTCCTCTCCCCTTCTGTTTTGTTCTCACAACAACCCTGCGAAGTAGGCTAGGCTGTGAGAGAATAACTGGTCCAAGGTCAACCTGGTCCAAGGTTCTTTTCTGTCCAGATGCTCTGAGCAGCTCTAAGCCACTCCTTTAAATTTCCCAGAAGTATCGATGCTCTGAGGAATTGTGGGAAATTCCTTCTTGAAATATTATTGCCACAGCCTGGCCCATTCACCAGAGGCACTGATAGATGAGTGAGCCCATGAGATGCCTTTACCCAGACCCCCCCTCAAACCAATATAGCTAGCCCTCCACGACCAGATCCCCTCCTTCCAACCCAGGTTCCCGTAATTCACTCCCTGCCTGTTTTTTCCAACTCCTCTTCCATCAGAGCCTGTCATCCCAACTCTGATCCCAGCAGCGCTGGCTCATGACACACACGTACATATCTGCGCTAAGGCATAGCCATCACCTGTCCCTCATTCCCCCATCGTCCTCATCTATTGGCACATTGCCCACAGTCCATTGACTTGATTAAATTGCATTGCATTAGCAAATGAACTAGCGAGGGTTTACAGGACTTTTTTGCTCTCTCAGCTCCTCTTGCAAAAACCGCTGCTTGGGAATCAATATAGAACAAGCTAAGAGACCGATTTGGATCTTGCCCCCATCCTAAGATGGTTTTTGTTTAGCCTCTCCCCTGTAGTGCTGGCATGAGGGCACTGCTGACCTACCTTCCAGGGTTGTTGTATGGCAGCCTTTGTCAAACTGGTGCCCTGCAAATGGTTTGGACCACAAACCCCATAGGAAGAAGAAGAAAGTGGTGAAGCCTCAAAACCAGTGCTGGGAAACATTGTCTCTCCCAGGTCCTAAGTCCTAACCACTATGCTACACCGTCTCTTCTTTACACATAAGACTGAGCAACTAGACCTACCCCAGACGTTTAGCTATGTATGTGTGAAGATGGCAGGATCCCCAAGGATGTGCACTACAGGGAGCTGGCTTCAGACACCAGGCCCATTGGCAGACCAACACTGTGTTACAGATGTGTTGGCAAACTTGACCTGAAGGCTGGCAGCATCAACCCTGCCCTTGCAGATGACTGCAGTGCCTGGAGACAATCAGGTTGTGCATCCATAGCAATGGCCAGAGGATGAATGACCGCTGGAAGGAGAGCAGAGAGAAGAAACACTGTACAGTGGTACCTCGGGTTACATATGCTTCAGGTTACATATGCTTCAGGTTACAGACTCCGCTAACCCAGAAATAGTACCTCAGGATAAGAACTTTGCTTCAGGATGAGAACAGAAATCGTGCTCCGGCGGCGCAGCAGCAGCAGGAGGCCCCATTAGCTAAAGTGGTGCTTCAGGTTAAGAACAGTTTCAGGTTAAGAACGGACCTCCAGAACAAATTAAGTACCACAGTAGTATATCTGCAGCAGCACAACCAGACACCTTCATTTGCCCCAGCTGTAACAAAACATGTCTTTCCTGTATCGGTCTCTACAGCCACAGCAGGCGCTGAAATCTTCCTTCAGTTTGACTTCACCGCCAAAGCCCTCCATCTTCTCCTGAGACAGATGGATGCCAACAGAATAGCTAAGCTCTGGAACTCGCTCCCACGATAGGCAGTGAGGGCCACCAACGTGGTTGGCTTTAAAAGAGATTTAGACACCTCCACTGTTGGAGGCAGCATGGGTCTGTATACCAGTTGCTGGAAGCTCCTGGAGGGGAGATTGCTGTTGTGCTCAGGTCCTGCTTTTGGGCTTCTCATTGGGGCATCTGGTTGGCCATAATAATAATAAATTTTATTTATATCCCGCCCTCCCCAGCCGAAGCCGGGCTCAGGGCGGCTAACAACACTAAAATAGTGCAACATTATAAAAACATTATAAAAATTAATTAAAATCAAAATTGATGGCAAGCATAAACTAAAGTTTTGTAAAGATTGCCAAAGGAGGGAGTCAGGCTGGCCACAGTGAGGAATGGGCTTAGCTGGGCTAAGTTGGGCTGCTGGCCTGATCCATCTGCAGGACTCTTCTTGCGTTTTTACACTGCTGCATTACAGTGTCCCCTGCCCATTGGCTGTGATGGGAATCCAGCCACACCTGGGGGCTACAGGTGCCTACCTCCGCCCCTGTTTTACATTCTGTAGCTGCTGAGCATCCTCTGTCCTTGCTGAGGAGCTGTTTCTGGGATAGCCTATTTGCATGGTAGGTTTGTTTGGATCACAGTTGCATTGGCCCTCGCCACTCGAGAGTTTAGTATTAGGAGTGATGGCAGCCACTTGGGGTTTCTTTAAGATGTGAATCGCAGGTAAAAATGTGAAAAATAAGAATGAAACTGGGCCCCGCCTTTCGTTGTGGGTGGCCTTGGTGCCTACCTCTGTGTGCCACTTTTTTATTTATTTCCTAGATGATTAAAAAACTCTGGCAAAGCTGCCTCCTTCTCAAGCCGGTGAGAATGGAGTTAAAAAGAGCAGCCTGCCATCTGCCCTCTGTGGTACTCTTAGCAGTGACAATCCTCCCAAAGGGGAAGAGCAAATGAATTTTAATGAAAATCTTGAAAGACTTTAAAATTTCATGTTCAACTTCAATTATTCAAGACTTTTTGGAGAGGAACTTCCAAGCTTCATGTGGGAAGGCGGAAATTGGGTGGGTGGAGAAGAGAATAGGGGGCCCTCTTTATTTTCTTTAAGGGAGTAAGGGGGGAGGGTTTCCCACACATTTTTAGATGAATCGGATTCTGTTTGGTTCTGCTTGAGTTTAACAAGGATAGCCTTTGAAAAGGCCCACTCGATTTTCTCTTTGTAGCCTCCAGCAATGGCACACTGCGTGCTTGATAAGGAGGGTGGGGGGAGAGATCAAACTAGTTTATTTATTTTATTATATTCCAAAGAAGAGGGCATGAATGGAGGGCGGAGCTAGATGCTACATATATATTGCAGCATGATGGAAAGGTGTGTGTCTTGCTAGGGATGGGTGGCCAAGTTCTGAAAATCCCAACGTGTGCTGTCAGTAGCAAATGAATCTGTTAGGTAAAACACCATCACCTGCAACAGCTGTTGTGCCCCTTTGTCATTTGGCATCTGGTTCAGAATTTGGAAGCTTGTAGTCCTTAAGGTGTGAGAGCAGGTTCATAATGTGTCAGGGGGAAGTAACATGGTTGGAGGCAGTGACTTTGAATGCCAGGAAAGAAAGCGACAGGTAGATGTACCAGGAGGTGTGGATTGACTCAGACGGGATATAATGCTTAATCAATGGCGACGTCATCCTATAACCTCTGTGCAAGTTTTGTGGAAAGAAATCAGGATGCATGTTCAGTAAGCAGGTCATCTGGAAGACCTCTCAATCCTTTTAACTGGAGGAGCCGGGGACGTTCTGTATGCAGGGCAGGTGCTGGGGCCCTTCCCCAGGTCTCCCCATCATGCTAGCTCTGCCCCAGACTCAGTCCACTGAGGTTCAGTCTACATTTCCATCTCTCGGAAAGACGGAAAATAGATGCAGGATCTACAACTCAGCAATTCCCTTACTGGGGCTTCTCAGTTTTATTTCCCCGTACCTCATTCCCCCTTCCTCCCAGATTCATGTACCTTCTCGTCTGATGAAGAACCTGAAAGCTGGACACACTTTGCGGGGCATTTTTTTGTCCATCACAGGGTGGGAGAACCCTTTTTAGCTCAAGGGCCGCTTTCTGTTCTGTTCCAGGGGTCACATCCTGGGGTGGGCGGGGCCAGAGGCAAAAGAAAATGAAGCGCCGGATGTGAAATTTGCCTGTGTAAAGTAGGCTAGTTTAAACACCCACCCACCCACACACTCACTCTTCATCCAATCAAACAGGCATGACCGTAGCTTAAAGACCCATTTCCAGCCAGGAATAAGCAGGGTATG